ATTTTGGTCCCTCTCCACAAATTACTGTCCAGTTCACGCCATCATCTCTCTCACCTGGAGTCTTGAAGTCACCTCCCACCTTGTTTCCTTCCCTCCACGCACGCTTAGTCCATTACCCAGAGGACAAATGATATTTTAAACTCATAATAAAATCCACGCTTCTTGCCAAGGCCCACGAGGCCCTCTATAAACTGGCTGCTGCCGCCTCTCTGACCCCAGCTTCTATTTTTCTCCTCCTGGTCACCAAGTCAGCCACACCTGATTTCCTTCTGTTGGGAGACCACCAGCCTTGTCTGGCCTCAGGGCCTTTGCTCCTGCTGCTCCTAAGAGCTGGACACCCTTTCCTTAGATCTGGCTCCTTCAAGTCCTCCTTAGAGAATCCTTTCTAGAGATCTCACCTCCTCCTTGATGACTCTGTATCATATTACAGGTTTTATATTCTTCATAGTATTTATCAGAGAGTTAAAGCATTTACGCATTTATTTATTCTTGTTTGCTGTTTTTTCCCTCACCAGAAAGTCAGCTCCATGAAAGCAGGGACTCTGCATCTTTCTTCACTGATGCATCCCCAGCACACAGCACAATGCCTGGCACTTATTTAGAAGGCACCAGTAAAACAGGGATGAATGCACGAGGATGAAAAAGAGTATCTATTTCCAAGGGTTGATGTGAGGCTTAAATGTAAAAAAATGTGCAGGGTTATACGGCTGTTGGACTTTATCAATCGTCTTTTGAGCCTCTAATTAGAAAGTATTACAGTGACATTCACAAATTTAGGTCAGAATCAGATGAAAAATCTCTCATCATATTAGTTTATCTGCCCAATATCTGTGTGATTGGAGCTTTTCATGCTTATTGCAATGAAACCAATGAGTAAGGCTGTTTCTGTTTCTGTTTTATGGGGCATGGCTAGGGTATGAAAGACAGAGAGTCCACATCTTTGCCTTGAGGGTGCTTATGAACGAGTGAATGATGTGTGCCTGGCTGGTTTCTCCTCATCTCCTGTAGTGTTATTATCTGTGCTCTTCTGCCCCACTCTGTAGTCATCTCCTGTGCTGGGGCCTCGCCTTTCTAATAGGGAGATAAATCCGTAAGCACAAACCACGCTCTCCGTACTCATTTTGAATCACAAGGCACCCAGGAGAGATGCGGAATTAAGCTGAATGATGGATCACTGCCCAATATATTTTTTTATGTGTCCTGCAAATATATCCACTAATAAGGAGGGAAAATACATTATTTGAGGGAAAAATGTCGCTTTGCTAATAATGTGCTCCCATCAAATGTAAAGATCACGCTGCTATACTGGAGGGCTTTTTCTCCACTGTTTTCTAATAGCAGGGCTGGGGTGCCGGGAACACTTCGCAGGCCTGTGCTGGGGCCCACTCGGGACCAGCGGCTTGAATCCATGAGGTGCGTGGAGGTGGCTGAGAGCAGAGCTTTCTCTTTGACTGAGTCGACCGCCGGAAGAGAGACACTCTTAGACTCCAATGCTTAGAAGGGAAAGAAAAAGAACTACAAGCTGAAAAAAAGTATTTTCAGATATAACCAGCCAAAGAGTTTTCGTAAGAAAACACGAGAGGGAGTTTCTGAAGTTTACCCAGACGCAGATGCACTGAGCAACACAGGAAGAAAACAGTTGGGGGTGGGGTTTGAATGGATGAAAACTCCAGAATGTTTGTAGCAAGTAGCTCAGTGCTGGACAGCTTTCATGCAGTTCAGCATGCCTGGCTTCCACCAGAGGGGTCCAGGCTGGATGACGCAGCATCCGCTGCCCACGGTTAGTGAACAGAGGGACGGGCTTGCTTCAAGTTCTGTTCCCGACTTGGCACTCCTGCCTTTCCTCATGCTGTGCCTGAGCTTCTCATTCCCCCTCTGAGTCACCACATGTAGTGAGTTCCACCTCCTGATCTGTGTTTCACAATGTTTTTAGGACACTAGGATTACTTAAGCCTGCAATCATGACGGAGCACTAGATAATGTCAATTCGATCTGGAAAGGCCCTAATTTATTTCCTCCCTGTGACTCTCACAGTCAAACAAAGAAACAACTGGTCCGTGGAGTTAAAAAGTACGACACTCCTACATTTTTCAAATAGCTATTGAATAGGTGGCATAATAGGTTGCGCCAAGGGTGGGAAAACATAATGTGTTTAAGTCTTGTTTAATTCTAGTCTTGAGTGCTTCTACCCACATTCTAAATAATCTGGGTTCGTCCATTTGTAGCTTGCTGTCATCCTTTATGTATTTTTTCCTGAAAACTTACAGAGACAGTTTTCCCCTATTGTCTTGGAAGGTTGGTTTTTCTCTCTTTGCCATCTTTGGGCGAGAGAACTGGGAAAACACTACTGGGTTCTCCCCTTTTCTATGAACCTGGAGCCTGTAAATGAAAGGTGGCCATCTGATATTACTGCATGTTTATAAGCAGAAAATTGTTCCCTGGGAATCAGACTTTCTTCGTAAAAATGTATTTTTAATCACAAATGTTATATGTTATACGAGTAATCATAATTTTCTTTTGTTTTTATCATAATTTCTTACATTTCACATTAAAAAAGAAATGAGGGCTTCCCTGGTGGCGCAGTGGTTGACAGTCCACCTGCTAATGCAGGGGACGCGGGTTCGTGCCCCGGTCCGGGAAGATCCCACATGCCGCGGAGCGGCTGGGCCTGTGAGCCATGGCCGCTGAGCCTGCGCGTCCGGAGCCTGTGCTCCGCAACGGGAGACGCCACAACGGTGAGAGGCCCGCGTACCACAAAAACAAAAACAAAAACAAAAAGGATGTCACTTCCCCAAGCCCCCTCTCCTTCAGCTAAACGCCCTCAATTCCCTCTGCTGTTCTCTGAGTGTCACCCTCTGCTGGCCATTTTCTGGTTTGTCAATGTCCCCTTCACGACGTGGCTCTTCAAACCGGATGACATTCCAAGAATGCCCAGCCACCTGGATACTGTGCGTTTGCCATGGCGGCTGTAAAATCGTCTTCTTCTCCCAGCTAAGTCCCTGTGGGCACAGTGCTGTCCCCCAGCTCCTTCATCTTGGACTCGTGTAATTGATTTTTTTGAACCTAAATGCACGAGCTTGTATTTAACCTTCATTTTATTGGTTTGGGCTCAGAGTTATAGCCATTTAAATAATGAGAATAACTTACACTTAATTATAATTTTCCAGCGATCCAAGTGCTTTAGCATATGATACTAGAATGAACTTTGATTCTCTTATTTACCATATCAGCTCTCCCTCCTAACTTTCCATCATCTGGAAATCTGATTAGCAGGAA